TTGCACTAAATCTCCATTTATTTATTTTTTAAGAGAAAAAGCATTGGCAAAATGATTATCTCACATGGCCTTACCCAGTTAAGGACACTTTCAGCTAAAGTTGCTCAAAGCACCACCAGCATCCTAGGATCCTTAAGAAAACTCATAGAAAATGTCCTCTTGCAGATGTGCAGACCAATGTTGTTTAGACCTTCATTACTCCAAAAATGATCAAGCTTGGCATGATTATAGTCCTCCTTGGAGGATGGCAAAACAATCCAAGTTTGAAACTAAAAAGCTACATCAAACAACACATCATGCTACAGGCATGGAAATACACATTTTCCTCACTTAAAGACAAAATATCAGAAACATCTTGGAACATGGGTCTCATTCAACATACTTGCACCTATCAGGGGTGCAGGCGACTAAACCAAAGACATGAGAGCATGTAAACAAAAAGATACAAGAAGGTCTGTTCACTATGGACAAAACCCTATCAAAAAGGGATCCCTAAACAACTTTGAAAGTCCTAAATAGAAGTGCATTTTTCCTAGTTTAGATAAGACCTTTGTCACATGTTTATAAGAAGAGAGAAACCTGTTACAGCAGAATAACTTTTCCTTAGTTTTTGATTTCTACTTAAGTGTAATACAGCAATATACTGAGAAATTTTTTTCATAACAGTTTTCACTCTGAGGTGCATATTCTACAGCAGTTCAGTTACAAGCCAGACTGGTGGTTTCTCTAAGACAGCAGTTCTCAAACTGTGGGTCAGGACCCCAGAGTGGGTCGCGACGCCATTTTAATGGGGTTGCCAGGGCTGGTGTTAGACTTGCTGGCGCTTGTGGCTGAAGCCAAAAATCCGAGCCCTACCACCCAGGGCTGAAGCCCTCAAGCTTTGGTGCCCCCAGGATGGCAGGGCTTGGGCGTGGGCTCCCCAGCCTGGGGTGGTGGGGCTCAGGCTTCAGTCCCCCTTCCCAGGGTCATGTTATAATTTTTGTTGTAAGAAGGGGGTCACGGTGCAATTAAGTTTGAGAAACCCTGCTCTAAGACATTAAACTGATCAATAGACATCACCAGCTTTAAGGTAGGAAACAAAAAGAGTTGCCTTTAAAGTGAACATATGCCCAAGCTTTTCCATATGTTAGTTTTCCCACTTTAAACAAATTTACATGAATCCAGCTCTAGTTGATCTCATGTGGCCTGCTCCCTTTCACTCCCCAGCCATTTCCAAACTATCAAGGATCCTTCCCCTATCTCAGCTGTCAATCAACATAGAACAGGAATGTACAATTTACTAAGCAGGAATGTACAATTTACTAAGCAGTCCTAAGAGCACAAGTTTACGCTCATTTCTAAAGGGAGAAGGCATGAGACAAAGAAAACATATTGGGATATCCTGATTTGAAATCTGTAAAATATGCAAATAAACATCTTGGTGTATCACAATAATTCCCCCCCCCCCCCCCCCCCCCCCCCCAAAAAAAACCCCAAACATTTTGAAAATCTAAAATTGTAAGTCTGTTGTGAACAAAATACAGAAAAGGAATCAAGGGTGAAATCCTGGCCCCACTGACTAGGAACTTTGCTATTGATTTCGGTGAGATCAGGATTTCATTCCAACTGAATAACAATCAAACAGATTATTAATTATCATCATCATCTTGGAGAAACCCATACTAGCAAAACACTGAAGCAGGAACTTTTGATTCCAATACTTCTTGAACTTCAGTAGTATCTTCTCGGTTGGTGGTTGTCTTATTGTGAGGCCTGAAATCAAAACTTTCAGACAGAAACCATGAAATAACATTAGCCCCACCTTTGGAAGAGTGAAATCTAAAAAGAGTACAGGATTCAACTGATTACAGAAAGAAAAAAGCTGCCAACAAATCAAGAAGTGATCAAACCAGAAGACAAAAGTTGCAGTCAGAATGCAACAAACAGGGAAAGCAAAATAGCTAGAGCACTACGTATTGTGACGTGGTCAGTCATTCATGCACTAGCCAGCCCAAACTTGCTTGGCCTTTAAAAATATCAAAGGACATCAGAACTATTCAGATTAGAAGAATGGACTGCCTCCTTCAGTTGCAAGGTACAGCACTTAGGCCCCACAATTTATTCAACCTTTATATATCTTGTACATCACTGAGTTTGTTTTACTAGTGGCTTCAAAATGTTTTAATCCACTGCACAGGAGATAAGTAGAAAAGATTAAGACAGTTACTGTGGCAGAAAAATAGTGTCGATCTAAGTAAAATATGCAGACTATTTAGAAACTATCAGAGGTGACCTGTGCCTGCCGATAGTGGGAGAACTGTGAAGGCAGCCGGCTTCAGGAGTGTTACCAAGCATGCTCAGTCCAAGCCAAGCAGCAAATGGGGGGAAGGCGGGGGGAAATGTGACCCTGCTTCCTCCTCCCGCCTGCCCCCGCCCCAAATGTCACCTCTGGAAACTATGAATCTCATTTTCGGAGGGACTGAGAATTCCATAGTACAGCTGGTTAAAAAAACTTGTTATTTTCTTCAACGGAAAATTTTGATGAAAAGGTAAATTTTAATTTTTGTCTAAATTTAACAGGGAAAAAATTTCAACAGAAATACAAGTACCAAAAACTTTTATTTCCGCCAAAATATTTGGGTTTTTGGGACATTCCATTTTTCGACAAAAACTTTCCAAAGGAAGCAGAAACTTTCTGTGAAAAAATTGTTTCATCAGAAACCCAATTTCCTGTTAAAAATGTTTCAACTGAAATTTTCCAATGAGCCCATAGTCTTGGGGTGAGCATACTTGCAAAATCCAAAACTGGGGTACTATTGTGGCAACACTATTTAGGGACCTGAAGTAGTCACACAAAGCTAAAGTACACTTCTTTTTAAAAATGTGTGCTGGTATCAACACTGCCAGCTTCTGGATATTTCTTGGACTGCAGGATTTTTTTTCCCCCCCAGTAACTTACGGTCTGAACTAGTTTATAATTAAACAGTGAACAAGTGTTATTAACATTTACTTTGAGCAAAAGAACAGCATTGATTGTAGAGACTATCAATTGACTTTTATCTTCACTCCAAAACCTGCTCTTCTCCCCTGATGCTCATTTCACCCGTCTGTCTCAGTAAACACAATGCAAATTCTACTCAGGATAGCCATAATTCTTGAAAAAACATTTTGTAGTTATAAAAAATCCAAGCGTTTTGAGTGATGAAACAAAAAAGTGGGACAGTTCAGGTGTCTCAAGAGACATTTTGGACATCGGAACATATTATGAAAAACCAGAACTGGGATATATATATTCACTTTGCATAGACTTTGCATAGACTTCAATGGGAGACATGAAAATGCAGTATAATATGTCAAAAGGTCACCTCAGCCCCCCTCTGTAAATTCATGTAAATCAGGAGTGGCCAACCTGTGGCTCCAGAGCCACATGCGGCTCTTCAGACGTTAATATGCAGCTCCTTGTATAGGCACTGACTCCGGGTCTGGAGCTACAGGCATCAACTTTCCAATGTGCCATGGGGTGCTCACTGCTCAACCCTGGCTCTGCCACAGGCCCTGCCCCCACTCCACCCCTTCCCGCCCCCTCTCCTGAGCCTGCCATGCCCTCACTCCTCCCCCCTCCCAGAGCCTCCGGGATGCTGCAAAACAGCTGATCGGGAGGTGCAGGGAAGGGGGGGAGGCGCTGATTGGAGGTGCTGCAGGTGGGTGGGAGGCTCTGGGTGAGCTGATGGGGGGCTGCTGACGTATGACTGTGGCTCTTTGGCAATGTACATTGTTAAAGTCTGGCTCCTTCTCAGGCACAGGTTGGCCCCCCGATGTAGATGCACTTTCTGAAATAAAATAATTTATTGAATATACACCATACACTATTTCCAAACATCTCTGTCTTTGTTATTTCAAAACCACATTTCTTTATGCATGGTAAGTATGGAGTTTAAAAAGAGATATTTGTTTCTAATTATATAAGTGCATATATGTGAAAAAAATTCTTCAGAGATGAACAACTAATTTGTACAGTCAGAAAATTCAAAAATGGCTAAATGTGTTTTCGTGATTTGTTTTCCTTCTGGATTGAGCCAAGTTGTTAAAAGTACATTCTGAACAGTATATTTGTTTAAGTTATAATTTATTTAAAATAGGAATTTAAAGCAGAAATCTCATTTCTACCATAACTCTAAACATCAGAGTATACATAGCAGATCTAAAGAACCTTTAGCTATCAAATGTTGACCTTACCATATTAGGCCTGGTTTTTTAATGTAACACCTTTTAAGATTGTAAATTTTTTAAATTACACCCCAGGCCCTGATCCTGCAAACACTTACACGTGTGGAACATTGAACTATTCACATAAATAAAGGTGAGCATACACATAAATGTTTGCAGGATCAGGGCCTAGGGTGGTATTTCTGCATTTTAAAAAATTAATACATTAAGAATTATATCCTAAGACAATTCTCTTTACAAACTCCAATTAATACTATAAAATCAGGATAAAGACTATAACTTGCCAAACTAAAGTTCAAGGTCAAATAGCAGTAGTAAGTGCCTCTCATCTCAACCCCAAACTCACGACAGAAGGCTGTGAAGAATATAAAACCACATGCTTCAGGATTTAAACCAATTCCTAACTATTAGATATACGAATGAGAGCTTTATGTGGGATAGACTATTATTCCACATCTGACTATTGTGGGGTGTCTTGCACCCTCCCTCTGGTACTGCCACTGCCAGAGACAGGATACCGGACTTGATGGACCACAGGTCTGACCCACTATAAGCGTGCCTATATTGAGCAAGTTATCGTAAAGCAGTTTGCATGGTTGCCAACTGCTATTTTCCCTACACCTGCTTTCTAGATACATAGAAAATGTCAGTCTCCAGAAATATCACTCCATTAATCTGAATGAGCATAAACGAACTAGAAAGGTTTGTATAAAATGGCATGCCTTCTGCTGCAGAATTTTGGAAAGAATAAATGAAATTATGAGCCTTTGCACAAGTCTGCAAAGTTAAAATACCTGTTATTGAACAGTACACAATGTGAGGAGCAATCTTGTTAATGTCTTCGTACCCCAGGCCCATTTCAGCCAGTTTCCCAGGGACATAATTTTCCACAAAAACATCAGACACAGCTGCAAGCTGAAAGAAAAGACAAAGATGAGTCAGACTTCTTAATCAACTTCTGAAAGTTCAACAAGTTCCCCACATAACTTAATTTAAAATTTCAGTAAACAAGATAGTTCCTGGCTTTCCTACAGTACAGAAGTCACAAGGTAATTGTGACTGGCTTAAATAAACTTGTTATTCTGAACAAATGGCTTCTCTACTCTGGTCAGTTACATTCTAGAAGTGTTGCCTGCCTAGAATGGATTCACTATTAAAATCTTGAATGTACCATATATGTTGTTATATGTTGTCATCATGGCAATTGGCCAAGAGCTGTCTACATTTAACAGGACAAACACTGACATTATATTTGTCTTTCCTAATTTTGGGAATGAGTAGAGAGAAGAGGAAGCACCCTTCATCCATTGCTGTTTTTTCTGTGGCAGAAACAGATGCTTTTGGCAACAGTGTTTTTAATTTCCAAACTATCAATTTCACATATAGTATCTTTTAATATATTTCATGGGCCTGGTGCTTTTTTTTTTTTTTTTTTTTTTTATTTTTTTATTTTTTTTGTTTTTTTTTTTTTTTTTTTTTACATATAACTATCTGATTATGTTACATGAAAATCCTAAAGGCAGCTTCAGGAATAGAATATCCAGTCCTGGAGCCTGACTTTCTGTATCATAGCAGAAATGACAATGCTTATAAACAATGTGATAGGATGCAGCTGCTTTCTAAACCTAGAAAACTCCACGTCAATGGACTGTGTCTCAACATAGCAAACAAAAGACTACCACCCTTTTCTCAAGTGTATCTATTTCTTACGCTCTGCAACTAAAGCTTTTGATCTGGATATATTCTCCATATGCTTTTATAGTTGACCCAAGGGCTTTTGCCAAGAAAGGCAACTTAAAGGTTAAAGATACAGAGATATCTCTTATTATTTTCACCTGTTCAATGAGGGGAAAGGATTTAATATGAGTAAATACTCAAAGGCTAATCCTTGGTTATCAACATTTCCTTTATACTTTATATATTTCCACATAAAGAACCTTTGCATCAATTTAACTAAACCAGTATCCTAAAATTGATTATTGTCAACTTGCCTACACATTAATTTATCTTAAATCAATTTAGTTAAATTGGTGTAACTTTCATGTGTGGATATAGGTTTAAAATTAGTTAAATACATCTATACAGATTTAGCTTCTGCATGTAAATTTACCAACTTAAATTACACAATATAAACCAAGTTTAAATGACTAGATCAGCATCCACACTAAGTTGCACCAGTTGAATCAGAATTAAAAAACACACCCCTTTATATTTAAACCACTACAATTGTCTGTATAGACCAGCCCTAAATCAGTCTGAATTCACGCCTTTTATTTCAGTGTAAGCTTTTATGTAAACCAACCCTCTGTTGCACAATATAGGAAATATCTATTTAGTTATTGTAGAGTTATATAAATAGTCTGATCCAAAGCCTACTGAAATCAATTGAAAGACTGCTAATGATTTTAATGGACTTTGAATCGGAGCCTAAATCATACCTTCATGTATCCCCACAAATGGGAAGTTATATCTGGACATATTTATAAGTGGTTAGGTCATGCGAACAAAGTTAATTATGAACCTCTGGAGAAATAGGCTTATACCTGAGAAGATGGTGGTGGTCATTTAAAGGAATTTGAGAAACAATCCACTGACACATACATTAATTAAGCACAGGCTTTGTGCAAAAGTGAACTGTTTTAGATTATTTCAAGTTGACCAGAGTTCTACTTTCTGGAGCTATCATGTATCTGGCTGATTACTATGTACAGTACATTGGAACAGTTTCCATAAACTAGTGCCATCATAATCAGCAATCACAACCATTATTGTTCTAGCATGTAGGCTGTTTTACTGTATCTAAGGCCAAAGAAAAAGCTAAGCCAGCAAACATTTAACCGGGCAGACAGAAACTGATTCTCATTCAGACAACAAGGCATGCAACTGATGAATGACTGGATTGGCTGCATGGAGGAGACACTAATAACATCCACAGATATTCTATAAATTCGACATAAGGCATTTTAATGTCAAGGGACAGTATCAAGAAAATCCAGGACTACAACGTGACTGGTTTAAAATTATTTAAAGCCTTTTGTGGAATCGTCTCTAGATTTTTAATAAACATTGTTGAATTTTAATGGGGGAGGATTGATTGTTGTTTAATTCACCATTCCATTGCTGAGAAATGAAATGCACACTATTTCGTGGAAGCTACACTTTTTGTAGCTTCCACAAAATAGTGTGCATTTCATTTCTCAGCAATGTACTGGCAGGGAGGAGTCCTGTCTCTCAGGGAGAACAAGGGTTCCACAGAGCTAGTGCCACTGTCAGCGCTAGCCTGGAAGACGGGAGAAGGTAGGACCATAGCCCTCCAACCTCTCTGCACAGGCTAGCAGAACCAGTCAGGTAAGATGGGGAGCACACTTTGAATACTCTTTAAGGGTGTCTTCACTGTAGAATTAATGCAGGCTCTTACTATGTTGTTTCCCCAACCCCCTCTTGTCCACAAACAAAAACATCTCACCAGAGTTTGGTTGTACTTCAGACACAGGGTGGCTGGCCCAGCTGGGGATACAGGCTAGAGCTCAGGTACTACTTTCACTCAGGCTGGTAACTCGCCCACTTTGTAGTGAGGACATAGGCTAACCCTTTCAATTGCTGATAGTCCTCCAATGCTTTCCCACAATTTCCTCCCCCTCTCACCCCAAAGTACCCAGAAGGAGAGACAAGTTATCCCACAACTCACCAGGAAAAAAATCAGAGCAACTCAGTTTACTGCAGCACAAAGAACCATGGAAAATGCCCCCAGAAGTCTAGTGACACACACAGGGGAATGCACCATCAGTGAGGACGCAGTAACTCAGGTTTGGCTTTGCAATGTGGCTGCTCGCACCTGGGCTAGACTAAGGCTGATCACCCAAAGGTGCTGCACTAACTGTACTACTCGGGAGCTCTACGAGCCTTGGTCTCATCCTGATGCCTTGCTGGTGAAATCAGATCACCCTAACCCCGACATAGGGCTGTGACTTAATAGCAACCAAATTCCACTGTTCATTCCCCACTTTAGATCTCTGAATACAAAGTCTAGCTTTCTTATTTTGGTCTCCAATAATGAATGGGAACAAAAAGGCGCATGCACTGGAATTGTACTTAATACAGCTAGTACACTATTCTGTTCAACTTTATATCTTAGTAAAAAGTGGTGGTATAAGTACAAAAAATATAGATCATTTCTGTTTCTCTCTCTCTCATAATTGCACTCATTATTTGGAAAACACCAATACTAAAAACAGATGCTATTTTATTAAAAGAAGAAAATTTTTAGAAAGTAGTATTAATATTGCCAATTTATCCTTTTGGGGAGAACTTTTAAAAGAATTCCATAAAGATAAGTTGTATCCCATCGCACCTATCAATTTCTCTTCTCTGACATAGGCATGAATGTGTGGGATGGATCTGTTGACTTCAGAGACAGAGGCAGTTAGAGCTGTCAATCAACGACAGCAGAAGAGAAAAGGGCCTGCCCGTTAATTTCCCAGAGAGTTTTCCCAAAACTATGGTAACTAATATCAATTTTATGTAAGAACCACTACAAAATTATTTTATAGTAAATGCACAACAGAAATATATCCTACAGACTTATCCTCAGAGAGAGTTTTGATGAATTGGTAAGAAGGGCTGTAAAAAAAAAATATATACTCAGACATATCAACACAAAAGGATGATAGGATGTCAGATAAGTGGACTACTTTTAGAAGAGAGGAAATGACAGATAAGATTAGATTTCTCTCTACTGAGCTGCATATCCACTTATCCATCACATTCTTAGGAAGCAGCCAGCAGTGACCGAAAATATTAGAAAGGGCAAACAGTGATATGAGCTAAGTAGACTAAGGAAGAGCAGCATGAGTTACTGGGGTACCAAAGGGTGAAATAACCTTGTGACTAATTATGTGAGAGCAGATGTCTGGAAACCCATCTTCTATTGCTTTGTAAAAGGATGAAAAATGGACCAGACTGCTGATTTACAGATTTCTCCTGCTGACTTGCAAGCCTCTTCTACCCAAGTTGTTTTGGCTGCATCTGTGGAATGCGCCTGAAGGTTCTTTGAGGCTACTAGTCTTTTGGCTTTGCTCCTTAACACAGCTATCGATACATGTAGTGAACATTTATTTGCATGCCTTCTTTCCCGTATCCAAGATGGAAGTTTAGGAAATAAGACAATTGATTTTCTGAAGTGTTCAGTACTCTGTATATAAAATTTTAATATCCACATCACCTCTAGCTAGAGTACACAACCACTTCTTTCTGGTGCTTGGGATCAGGACATAAGTTAAGGATAGATTATTTCCCAAGACCTGAACTTCTCTTATTCATGAATTTCCTTATGGTATTTAACACAACTTTTTTCTGTATGGAACATATAATACTAGATAAGGCTCAGGATTCAGCATGGAGTGTGCGCCAGATGTATTGACCACTAAGATAAACACCAGTTATAAATCTGCCACTAAAGAAAAAAGTATCCATTCATGCACACCCATTTGGTCAAATCCAGCACTGGGAAGGTCCCATCTTCTGGTTCCAATTTAGGTCCAACTATAATCTCATAAAGATAAATCTGGAAGATTTTAGCACCATATAATCCAAAACCACCAACCTGTTAGCCCCAGACCAGAAACTTTGCCTAAATCTAGTCCAGAACCAAAACACACCTCCTTAGTCCATCTCTACTGTTACTACAACACCACTGCTTTGGTTGCCATTGATGGAAGAGAAAAAAGTTACATTTATGACTGCATCTTCCATAAAGTATGGGGGCTATGGGAAATCAGAGTCAGTAAGGCCTGAATGCTTGCTCTTTAAACCTGAGGTGAATGATTGCACAAATCCTAAATTTGCTTTGTAATTTCTTCTCTGTTAGGCTTCGATTTTCAGTTTTATTTTTTTGTGGGGGAGAAATCAGCCTCCGCTGGAATGATGGTCTCCTTCATTTCCACAGTCACTCTCGTGTCAATTTCAGGCATCTAAACTATTGGTTGGTTCTCCTTTTGGATCTTCTACAGTATCAGGATTTGCCTATTAAGGCATCTGCTGTTGGAAGACTGTTTCCATTCAGACCTATTTACTTCATCTACAGCAGCACTGAGGGAAAAATCTAACTATTTTTTGCTGCTGGTGGGAAACTATTTGCCTGCAGGGGCTTGTTTGGCTTCCTCAAACTACTGCTCCCAGGCCAAGAGAGTCAGGATGACTAAACAATGCAGTTGAAATACTCCTGAGGGAAAAACCTGGTTTGGGGAGCCTACTTAAATTTGTCTGACTCGGAATGAAGAGGCTCCCTCCTCCAAGGGATGAGGAATCTACAGACAAGTAGGACACTAAAAAGGATGAAGCCACATGTTTCCTGAGCATATGACTTTTGGCTTTTCAGTTTTTCTAACACTCCATATATTTTCTAGATATTTTGTAACCCTTGCCTGAGGAATAATCAATTAGCTTGGGGGAAGAGGGACAGAAATTAGCCCTACTTATCTTTTTCCTTTTTAGCTTTTGGCCTTTCAGTAAAATCACTAGGGGAGGAGACCTCAGAAATGACCCATATTTTACCCTAAATGCTCTCTGGGCAACAGAGTCACTTGGAGTTTGCCTATATGAGGAAAGGTGGTTAAGGTGAGGTCCTGCGACTCCTGCCATAACCTGTGTCTACATGAGGGAAATCGTTGGGGTTAGTTAGCATGTTTAGTTACCTAGCCCCAAGCTAATTTTGATAAACAGAACAGAAAGAAACACCATTGTCATAGTCATCAAAGGCAGCCCTGGAGAGAATCAGGAGAACGTGCTGGACAGAGGAAGAAGTTGAGAAGTGGTAGGATGGGGGTCTCCAACCTCCTTCTCTGTTATGGGACTTGATGGATCCTTGCACTGCCACTCCTTACTTGAAGAGTTTACCGTTTCCTGGAATCTGTGTATTTCTTGGCAGGTGGCTGTACATACTATGGGTGCTAGTTGAGCTCTCCCACTAAGCTATACCACTAACAAGCCATCTTCTGGATGCACAGTAAATTTTGGCTCAGTGCCAAGCTGCCCATGTGTTTCTGCTGAGGTGTTAGGTGCGGATATTGTGGGGTGGCAGATGACGGGAGGGAAGCTGCTAAAATACATCAATTTTATATTAAGCACAATTATTTTATTTGTATAATTTTTCCAAACCATGCATAGGAAACCTATGAAGTTAAGTAACAATCAATATTGCCTTTCAGTTCTATTCTGAGGTCTGTCTATGAAAATGACATTATAGGATTCTTGGTTTAAGTTCTCCAAATGATTTCCATATTCTGCATAAGTGAAAAAAACAAACTCAAATTGAAATACATCATTTTATATATCATCACCAGCAAAAAATTGCTCTTTGCTATGTTGGTTCTGCAGGGTTAACAGGAGTAACAAGTAGCAAATCTTGTCTGTCACTAAATTAAACAGGTGAGACATAAATAAGGAATAGCTCTATTGAATACGACGTGCCATTTTTACATAGTTACTTCTGAGAATAAAACCACGTTTTAAGTTCTAAAATGAAAAACTGAAAGAGAGACAGAACAGAAATATGAAGCCTGATCTGGCAAGTGAACAGACATTGAGGCAGCTTTGCTATTCATAGGATCTGATCAACAGTAAACACACGAAAAACATTTCAAATACTGGGGCCCAAGCCTGCTCCCACAGACTTCATTGGGCAGTGAGCAAAGTAGACATATGCAAACATTTGCTATACAATATTGAAAATATAGATGAACAGATGGTTCACCATTCCTAATACAGTGAAATACTCTTAAACATGAATTCCATTTTTCCACATAAAAGCTTTACTCTAAGCACTATAAATGAAAGTGCAATTTCTCATTGCAATGCACTGAAACAATTTGGGACTTAGTGTGAAATACACTTTAAAGAGGATTTCACACTATCCAAACTCACTGTAACTGAGTTGCACTGTATATTGAGTCATTAAGATAAATGTTTAAGTGTATAAAAGAAAATCAGTGTATTGCTGTTTAACACAACTATACAGGTGATACACATTAATCAACAGGGTAATATAGTTAATCAGCCATTATCTTAATGTTTATTCTTTGCTATTATGCTGAAAACAATGTAAAATGCATTATTTACACTGTACCAGAACATACCTCTCTGATTATCTTTGCTCCTTTTGGATTTTTCATATTGACAGCTATACTCTGGTAACAAAAAATACAATATTGTTCGTTATGTGAAAGTCCCTGTGTCACTCACCCTGTTATCTTCTTCCAAATGTAACAAGTCATACATCCTTAATTGTTCAAAATACTCATTCTGGTTCTTTAAAAGAACTATCCAGTTCCAATTTAATGCTAATTTTAATCTCACCACATTTACATATAGTAAGGATTACACAATTGTAAACTACAGTATTTGGGGTTTGTACCCCGTAAAGCATGCTTAAGAAAAACCAGACAATTCGAATTCTTGCTTTGTTAGTTACTGGTTTCTCCCTAATTGTTACAGTTATCTAGTTTGTCAAAAAAAATTGCTTCTGTTCAATATAATCCAGTCTCTAGTACTACTGCAAATATTATCTAAAGAACATAAAAGAAAATTTTTATAAAGTTTGTTCTGAGTTCCTTGTCACAGAAAAACCCAAACCACAATGCACAATAGAGGAGCTTCTGTTTACCTTTTTATTTCGATTTACACTGAGAAAATAAATGCTTTCTGTTCCAACAAAAGGTGGTCCCCAGGCTCTTGTGTCATCACCAACTCCTGAAAATAAGAATGTCACATTTTTGTATCTGTCCAGTATTATACTGCACCAAATACACTGACAAATATGCAGAAAATGAACACTCTGTTCTTCTCCCAGTTTACCTTTAAAATGGTTTAAGCATCAGCTAGGACAGCCAAAACATCTCCTTTAATCACCATTGGTAGACAATGGTTTAGAATCATACATATTTTAGATATTTTTTTATCTGTAAAGAAAAACTCCGAAACCTGATTAAGCAAAACAGGCTTGTTTTTGCCACTGCTGTGGCACTATTTGAAAAATATTTTTATTGCATTCAAAGACAAAAAGTACAGAATAAGAAGGGATGATATGAATATAAAAACAGCTCACTTCAAAAGCAATATTAACTGTTAACATGCTTGAAAATAAATAATTTGAATTGGACTGTGTTGCACTGAGTTGGCAATCCAGTACCCCTTTTGGGTTGACTTCTTGTCCTCCACACTCCCAATTTCATCAAAAATTAAGAATGTCAATCTCTAGCCTTTATGATTGTGAAAAAAACCTTCAAACTGTGAACCAAGCATAACCAATGTTATAATGAGTTTGTAGACAGCCTGAAACAGCTATCAAAAGAATAAAATGTCCTGCTTATCTGTAACTTAGATGTCCAATCACAATAATTTAAATGCCAACATTATTAACTATTTCACTGGTGACCAGAACATGTATAAATAAAAAAAAAAAAAAGGGACGATTATAGTACAAAGATATGCACAATCTACTGTGAGTGACATTTTACTTTGATGCCACAAGTGGGAGGTGCTTGGAAGAGTATCACCACTTTTTTTCCCAGCAGGGAGGAGTAGAAATCAGGGTGCCCACTAAATCTTATCAATGGGGGCTGGGGCAATCCTGAAAAGCCCAGCAAGACATACAACACCCCCAAAAAGCCCAGATTCCCTCAGAGTAGCGTGGGCTTGGTCTGCTCTGGCGGTACATGTGAGACCAGGCAGCTTCCTCTCTCATTCCAATGGCTGCTGCTCCTCCCTCTACCAGAGAATGTCTGCAGCCTCAGACAGGTATCACTGCACCCGTTATGCCTGGGTTCAATTTTGAAGCTTTTCTTCAATCATGAGGGCTAGAAATACATATTTTAAAATGAAAATTTTGATTCAGATGTAATCACATGACTATGGGAGCCACAGCCCTAGGCACGTACCTACTGTGCTTAGACTTTAACCCCTCCCTGTCCATGAATGAATATGAACCCTATGGAAGGGGGAACCAAGCTTGAGTAACCCAGCAGAGCTTAAAGCAGCATATATTATTATTTCACATTTATATTGCAGTAGCACCTAAAGGCAACGGCCAGGTTGAACATCATTGTGCTAGGCATTGTACAAACATATAAAAAATTACAGTTACCAAGAACTCCACATTTTGGTGTCTCAAATGGGAGGAGCTTGGGAAAGTATCATTACACTTTTTTCTACACTCATCCCGTTCAAGCCATGCCATCAATACATTTCTACAGTACCTTCCTATAAGGATCTCAAAGTGGATTACTAACACCAATAATGGAGTAAGTCTAGTAACACCCCTATGAAGTAGGGCTTTTGTCACAGGATAAGTTTATGAACCCACTTTACAGATGTGGGAAGCAGACACTGAGAGGTTAAGTGACTCCTCCGAGATCTGAATGTGATAGAGCTAAGAATAAAATGCAGGTCTCCCAAATCTTAGGTTTGTACTTTAACCACAAGACCCTGCTTCCTCCCTATACCCATTATACTTTGAATCCTAGTTTTCAGTTTCACTTATTGGTATGGGACTGTGAGCTTTCCAAAATTAAACAATTTAAAACCCTAGTAAACAAAGTTGCAGGAGCAAGTCTCAGAGGATGATTTGTTGGCTGAAGTGGTAGAATCCTTTTCTTAGGTGTTCATTGTGGATAGCTTTCCGATTTAAGTATAATAAATGAGTGTGTGGTTTGACTTTAGTGGGGGGGTTTTCAAATAATAAAAAGAGAAACGATTTTTTTTTTAAATGGCCGGAAACTTATGTAAGGAAAAACACATGACATAATGTGCAGCTGCTATGACATATCTGCATGCCTCAAGTGCGTAGTGAGGCACAAGACTGGAGGCCAAATGTGGAAATACCTCTGAAACAACTGCACTCCCTGGAGTTTGTTATTCTACTTGTATAATTTTAAGAGGAGCTCAACTAAACAAATAAAATCTGCAAAATTTAAGAAATGTAGTTATTACACTAGGACAAAGCACTTGTTATTAGTATCTAAAACAAGGAAGTTCTTAAGAAAACTTCTTCAAATCTAAAAAATACCTGCATAGAGTGGGAAGAGAAATCAGTTGTAATAAAGTGAAATATACAAAAGTAGCAGCTTGCTGTGATCCTACAAAACAGAGATAAATTCAGGCCATAACTACCATGCTCAGAGGGAGCCATAAAAAAAAAATGCTAAAATGTTTGGTTTGTTTTGTTTTGTTATCTAAATATTCACTCCTGAAGTCTGTTAACCTCGGACATTTCCAGAGCTAGAAGTGAATGTTCTGTGGGAAGCTGAGAATCTCCCTTTCCAATGGAATAAAGATCCCATTTCTATTCATGGCCGGATACAAAATACTGGAATGTAAGTTTGTAACAATTTTATACACAGAAAATCTTTCACTGGTACAAAATTGAATTTACATTTAGGGGAAAGAGAAGGAGACATTTCTCTGGCAGGTTGTTTTTTAAGTCAGATACTTGAAACTGCTCAGTGATTTGGAATATTAGAATCAGCCTCAGGAAGATGAATCAGTGGGCAAAGACACCTTTTAATCAATGAATCCAAGTGCTTGTAATCCCCATTTCAAGACATGTGTAACAACAAGAAAAAGGAAAGAAAATAGTTACTGTAATCTAGACATTTTAGTTTTTTTTAAATGAAGCTCTAGTCTCTTGTTTCTTGCCATACCAATCTGTTCAATTCTACTTCAATATCTCTGACTTATGTGCCTAATTGTGGCCAACCTCAAGAGGCAAGTAATTTGCTCAGTATTCTACCTCTGTGCAACAAAATGTACTCCAGCTTAAGTTCACACAGAAAAGCTTTAGCTCAGGGCATATTAAACTACTGAAACATAATACAGTGATGGGAAAACACCTGCTTGTTCCCTTACTGGTATGGGATGTGTCCTATGGATGTTTACTCTGGTACAGTGCAAAATACACTTAAAATTCACAATGTTCGACTAATGCAATATGAATCTACATCAGTGGTTCTCAACCCGCAGGACACTTGCAGCCCATGTGACAACCTCAGAGCCATACAGATAGTATATATATTGTGTGGATGTGGCCTACATAAAACAGAGAGCTGCATATGCGACCCGCATATGCGACCCACAATGGTAAATAGGTTGAGAACCACTGATCTATATTATTTTCTTGGTGGGATAAGGTATTCCTAATTTTATATGCTTACCTAATTTTCATTCAGGACACATTTTTTTAAAGAGAATGTTAACTCAAACATTGCTCAAACTGTAGATTTTTAAAAAAATAAATTAGAAATATTTCTAAACACAAGCTAACATTCCCCTTCAGCATTTGCAATCCAAACATTGCAGCACTAAGAACCTATCCAAGCTGAAGCAAATTCAAAGAAGTGGGCAAACAACATAAACAGTTTAAGTAACTGTTTTAAATCCTTCAACTTTGATCATCTAGGCTTTTATTTGTGAACGGGCATGCATTCCTCCCCTCCACCCCCCCCAGCTACCCCAGGAATGGCTCTGACTTTCTTATTTTAGTGTCCACGCTGTATAATTTATTCAAGTCCCCTCCACTAACACCTGTACAGTGCAACACAACAATCCTAATCTCTCTGACCTTCAGCTCCTGTTCATCAGGGACCAGGGAGGAAATAAGATCTCCCTTCCTTGGAATTTCCTTCAATCTGGGCTCAGCTAGCCCTGTACTCCATGCTCTAGCACTTCCTTTCTGCCTTTTATCAAGATAATCAGCTGATGGGCCAATTAATTCCTTAAATCACACAGCTTCCTTGTCTGATTAACTACTTCCTCCTTATTTCCTCAATCAGCCATCACTGGGGAAGCTAATTGAGGCCACAGTGATCAGAGTGCTGACCCTCTATTAGACCTCAGCACTCTGTCACAATGAATAACATAATGAAGTAAGAGTTTGCATAAAATAGGATTTTTAAATTGGCAATTCCTCTTTAAAATCCACGTACAGAGCCTAATAACCATACAATTTCCATCCCTTACATACAGAGCTGTGTTGCACATTCAGTTAAGAAATTTTCACATGGCTCCTGCTAAAATCATTGTTCTTAGAAAATATACCTATAACATCATGTTCTACACCTACTTAAATCTCCGCCAACTCACAGAGTTTAAGCCAATTTTGTTCAACTTACCATTATGTATTTCCCTATATGTTATTTGAATGAATGACATATATTTTCTATGGATGTTTCAGTTCTGGTTTGCCCCCCATTACATATGCATTTCACAGAAATCCATTCTGCAATCACATGCTATTTACAACCAATAGGGAACAAGACTAAAAGTTCCTATTCCTAATCTAGGTACTCCTAAATTTACAATTATACTCATTTCTATCAGGCTATCCAGATTCTTATACTGGCACCTATCAGCTGGTGAAAAATAAGGCCAGCTCCTGGGCAGTTGGCTCCCCCTCGGTTCCTTGGAAAGGAGGGGCAGAAGGAACAAGAACTCAGAGCTGCAGCAGCAGCAGTAGCAGTCATGGCCTTCAGGGTTTGGGAATCCTGCAGAGAGGTGGGCCAGCCTAAATCACTTGTACTGGGGATATAGTGGGAGAGCCTGGACAGGAATAGAAAGAGATCTGCAACTCAGCAAAATCACATGCATGGATCTGAACCCTGAAAACACTGGTATCTATTTTGTTGCCTTCTTTTGGAACACCAGCTATATCCAGGCAAATATGGCTATATTTAGTTACATTTGGAAAGGACACAATCTTCCCGCTCCCCAAAAATGTCTACCCAAAATAATTAATACCAGTCATATTTCTCCTTTGTAGAATTATAATTTCATATACTGTCAATGTTTTACAGAAGCTTTCACCTATTGGAGAGTTTTTTGTAATGAGAGTCATAATCACTGTTCCCTCTAGATGTACAGGGTAAGAGAGGAAAGAAGCATTGGTGCTTTCACCTTTCAGAAGTCAATAAAAGAGTCCTAATTTCATAGCTTCATCTTGGGGCCTAGTTGCATCAATTTATGCTAACAAGGCATTATGCAATGCCTTTTATTGCACCCCTAGTTTGGCGCCACCACTGTAACAATGCTGTGCCACTCCTATACACTGATAATTGTAGCAACAACAGATCAGACTGTATCTCAAAATAAAGATTCTATTTTCATAGTATCAGGAACCTAATGCTAAAGTTTTACACAAACCCATAAATTTCTATTGCATTAATGGCAGTTACTCTTGGAAATCCTCTGTGTACTGATGGGAGAAAAGAGCCCAGAATGACCAGTTAGAAACCTGGTGTTTCAATCAGTAACAGATGTCTGATTAATATGCCAGAGGCAAATGATTCACTAAATCCAGCTGTAAAAGCAGATGGTGTATTTTATTTCCAGGGGTCAAACAGAATGGGAGTGCTTCTGCAGCATTCCCAACCCTTGCCTAAGAAGCAAGTGATGAGACCAGGAAATCAATCAAAGGTCTTTCATGTGGTAATATAGAACAACTAATCTCAGGGCCATCAGTTTATGAGATCTAACAAGGTCACCACATAAAGTGTAATATGTTGCCATATATCAGTGATAACATCAGTCCAGTTATACATCTCTAGGTAAAAAACCTATTCCGGATTCAAAACAATTCCATTTAGCATGATAGGCCCCAACCATTTCGCATATGCTGGCCCCAAACCTCCTGACTCTTGTACTAATTTTTACCTTTTTTTGTCTGTTTTAAATAAGCTGCCTTATTCACAATTGGCTTTGCAGGTAGAGCAAAGCATATGTTTTAACTGGTAGCCTGCAGCTATCCTCTGAAGCCACCAACAATACGTAAGGGTCATAACAGTATAGAAAAAAAATTAGAAGTAACTATATTTCTTGTCCTATAATGAGATTATAAACTTCTTGGGGCAAGGACAATCTTGTCATTAATTGTGTGTACAGCACCTAGCACAGTGAGGCTCTGCTCCCTGACTGGGGCCTCTAGGTACTCCTGTAATAAAAATAAATCATAAAAATAATAGATAATTTCTGGAAGGATGCTGTTTGTCGTGACATTATAGTTCAGACTGCAGCACTTTTTCCCTAAACCCTATTTTAAAAGCCTTTTCATGTGATAAAGAAAACTCCCTAGGCCAAAGGAGAATCTTTCTAAATAATTTAAAGGAAAACAATCTAAATTTCAAGTCACAGGTAACGTACATTTCACGTCTAAAGTCTTTTGCTAAGTGGATTAAAATTATTTTCTGAATTCAAAACCCAAAAAGGACTTGATCTCAGGGCAGGTCTTCACTACAGGGGGGGGGTCGATTTAAGATACGCAAATTCAGCTACGCGAATAGCGTAGCTGAATTCGACGTATCGGAGCCGACTTACCCCCCTGTGAGGACGGCGGCAAAATCGACCTCCCAGTCGACGGCGCTTACTCCCACCTCCGCTGGTGGAGTAAGAGCGTCGATTCGGGGATCGATTGTCGCGTCCCGACGAGACGCGATAATTCGATCCCCGAGAGATCGATTTCTACCCGCCGATTCAGGTGGGTAGTGTAGACCTAGCCTTAGAACTTCAGACTTCTCATGCCCTTATCCTTCCTAAAAGACTTAAGGACATAAGTTACTTCTGAACAAAACTTATCTACACTTACCACTAAATTACAGTTTTTAGAATAAACTGACAGGAGAAGCTCCAGTAACTAGACCAGCAAGTATGCCAGCAACTAGTTCTCCACCAGTGAGTCTGCAGGAAACTGGAAATAGAATGATATCCACAGGGCCCCAAAAAAGAGTCAAAACCTGTAGGCTGCATAGTAATAGTTAACGAATTAAAGTTTTCCAAGGGCCTAGACAGACACACACCACCACTCAACCTAGCATTTTCTTTCTCCTCACTTCTGCAGGGTGGGAGGGGGAGAAAAGCAGGCAAGGGAATTGCATTTTACATGTTCAGCCCATACTGTGCTCCCCAAACCCCTAATGGGCCTTGACTATAAATCAAAGTGCCTCCAAGGATTGCAGGGCACCCCTTAAAACAGCACAGAGGAAAAAAACTATTCAAAAGTACATAGACAACTAATGATTAAACTGATCCTCAGTCCGATTATATTAAGAAACCTTACCTGGTCTTTCCACTTTAATAACTTCTGCTCCTAGGTCTCCTAAATTCATTGTTGCAAAGGGTCCTGCAAGTACCCTGCAATATTAAAAAGCAGTGGGTTTTCATAGTTGTTCTGTCACAGCATTTGAATCTCAGAAAACTATTCTGAACTACAAACAGCAAACACAAACCTTGTTAGATCAAGAATTTTCACACCTTCTAGCGGCTTCACCTTATTAGCACCTGGTAAGAAAGAGAAAACAATATTTTACTTGTGAACCTCTTTTTTTAAGGAGACTAATGTCTCTCCGTGGAAGTCTGAAATAACTGCTGTATCACACTCTGCCTTGTTACCCACATTGCGTAAAATAGGGATAACAGCAGCTTCAGATATATAAAATCAGTTGTTTGTAAAGCATGATATAAATTATTAGTATTGTAGAGCCTGTTTTAAACCCCTTAGAACACTACAATATACTGTTATTTTGTTATTTTTAAAAGTGCCTGTTACATACATAGACATTACGCTGATAAGCAGCAGCCTGTGTAGAAAGATCCAATAAACTCATAGCAGTCAGTGTCAAGAAGATATATGAATTAAAACTAATGGATAACAGACTGACATGAAGTAACGACTCCCCAGCTGCAGAGTTGTTTGACCTATGCTGACAATCAAAAGTAGGGTCAGCACTTACAACACACACAAAAAGTGTGTCTTCACATTTTAAAAGGCACTTGAAAACTGAAGCAGATGAGCACAAACCAAGAAAATATTTGTTCTGTCTGATAGCACTCATGATGGTAAATATATGCTCAAGAAATTTATCCACACATTTTTCCTTCCTTCTCCCCCCTTTCCTCTCAACCATGACCATCGCTGAAAACTATATGAAGGATATTAAACCCCAAGGGGACATGCAGTCTAGGTCACAGGTGTTACAGATCTTCTGGGTGATCTTGGGCACATCACTTAACCCCTCTGTAAAATGGGGGATAATAATATTTCGCTACCTCATACGGATGTTGTGAGGTGTATTAATTAATATCAGTGAGATGTTCAGATACTATGGTGATAAATGCCATAGCAATTTCAATAAATAAATAAAAATCAGACCTCTGTTAAAACTAGAAAGGTTACATAGCATTAGCCAGGAGGAACTCATCTTTACTCATGTACTTGTTCAAACAACGGGAAAAGACAAAGTATTGTAAGACTGTCTCACTTTCTCTCTAACCATCAGTTACAAAGCATGCACACAGAGTATTAGGATGGACTGGGAATTTAAGGCCCCTGCTCAAATATTTTAATTCATCACACTGCACTCAATGAAAAAAGTGTCTTCAATTGTAAGACATTTTCCTCAATTATTACAAATCTCTCCAGAGGGATTTGGGTGGTTTGTTTTGTTGTTGTTACTGTTGTTGTTGCCATGAGGAAGTGTGATATGCAGACTAGTCAGCATTTAAAAAAAAAATGTCTGTCTAAATATTTGCCTCATAGTTGTTTTGCACATCTTAAACACAGGAAGTCAGGTACACATGTTTAGTACTGTTGTATTTCACTGTAAATACTGGAGAGGTTGAAAAATAGTTTACTAGTAATTATGCTGGATATCAATATAAAATACTTGGTGGTACAACCTCAATAAAGCCACACATAGCTTGATGACGCTTAATCAGCCCTCCATCTGTAAACTCACTTAGGCCCCAGATGATAAGAATTTAACCATATGCTTAACTTTAAGCAGGTAAGTTGTCCTATCTACTTCATTAAGACTGACTACTCTCGTGCTTAACGGTAAGCATATGTTTAAGTGTGTTTTAAGTGCTGAATCAGGGCATTACAGAAGAACACAACTTTATAAGAACATCTGCAGATGACGAAAAGTCTGCCTTTCTTTCCATCCCCTCCAAAACTCGCAATCTCTTCACTATGCCACAGACCATATGGAGCCTGATTTTCTCCCTTTCTCATACATACACTACCACAGCAACAGTAGTTTCCCAATTAAAGGCACTTCCAGACTCAAAAAGTTCTGCAGCTGTAGTTGACAGTCCTTTAGGAGTCCCCTCAGACTCTCTAAGGGAAGTCTGCAAAGTATTTAGATTTCACCTGTTAAAATATGCATTTACACAAAGCCATAATTAACAAGATAATGAGTCACCATTATTATCATATCATTCATATTACGGTATTAATTAGGAACCCCAATCAATGATCATGGCCCCACTGGAGTAGGGGTCAGCATAGGAGAAAGTGCAGAGGTGTTTCTGGGAGAAGCGGTCTGTTGGGCAATAGATACGGGAAGTTGAATAGGGGTGTTGTCCCAATGACAGAAATAGAGGCGAGGGGAAGGTCTGTGGAAGGTAGATCAAAAGCTTGGTTCAGAAAGTTTCAGAAGCAATGCCAGCGAGCGGAACTACTCTTGCCTAATCATCTATGAATTTACATGATGCCTCAGTTTTGGTTTATGATAGTAAGCCAATGAGCTGCAGACTGATTTTACATGATACACTCGATCTATACCCACTTGATCACCAGAGAAATAATAGTTCTAATACACTAGTCATGTGAACACTGCCAAAATCATTCCCTGAGTCCTACTATCCCAGTATCAGCCCCCATCTTCATCCTCTCCTGTGCCAGTTATTGATTTCTTAAGTAAACCAAATAGTACCAACTTCACCTTTTATTGAATTAAGCCTATAGCTCAACTACGGCAAGAATTCCTCTCTCTCAGGTGTAGCTATACCATATTTGCAGATTGTTTATTCCTATAATAAACTGGACAAACACATGGACCTCTATTACAAGTAGCTCTGATTGAGAAAAAAATAATCAGGCCCACTCAAACTTTGTAGACTCTGAGGGTATTTTAAACTGAAGAGTCTCCCACATTACATTTAGTACACTTTACACAGGCAGGATCGTGTCAGGTGTGTTATCGTATCTTATAACAACATTAACAAAAAAAAAACCCCAGAAGTTATTTCATAGTAGAATTGATTTGTACTACTTTTAATCCTGAAAATCTTAGTTTTCTTTTATATTTTAAAACAGAGGCAGATATAGGAGAAAGGGGACAAAAGGAAGCATTCTGTCGGCCTGATTCTTCTCTCACATCACTTTTACACCAATGCTGCTCCACTGTCTTCAACTAAGTTACTTCTGATTTATATCTGGGCAAGTGAGGAGAATCAAGCCCTCCTCGACTGAATTGCAAAGTAGATATTCTCTCATTCATGCAGACTGCCTCCCGTGGCCACATTTACTCATTGTGTAAGTAGATGCAGCGTCAATGCACACACTTACACCAGCAATCAATCTGGATGAATAGTGAAAGTACAAGCTACTGCTGTGGTGTGATCATTCCAGTTCAGCTGCTTATATTTGTATTTGGTATTTGAAACAGATTAGAAAATGAGCAAATCAATTCTGCTTATTAAATGGCCACCAGAAAGTAGGTTTTTTTAATTAAAGATAAAAATAGAACTTGCAGGAAAGGAGACAGTGAATCCATTATGCAATCACCAAACAGTGAAAAGTTTTGTTAAATAATAGGAGGCTCACAAAATGGGTTGTTTGCCCATAAAATGGAAACAAACAAACAGCTTTTGTAACTGAACTAAAAAGTGTAACACATTCTCTATATATTGCTGTTACTAGTCTGATCATTAGTTCTTCTTGGGCTCCAGCCCCTCCCATGATTCTCCCTTTATTTTTTTGCCACCTGCATACATTCATTGACCACCCTGGAAAGTCTGCATTAGAATCAGAACCTTTTGAGTTCTTCCTCAGCCACTGTGGAAAATTATACCCCAAAGCCAGATGTACATTTTCATTTAGAAAAAAATAATCATTTGCAATCAAGACAGTTATGGTTTTAGTAATGCTGCAGCAAGAGTGTAGAGTCAAGTCCAATTTCAGATAAACTTAAAAAAAATTCCTTAAAATGCTAGGGGACAAAGAAAACTATCTAGAAAACTATGTGAATTCAGTCTGCTATCGTTGAAAGATATTATTAGTGTCATATTCTCATGTCCTGCATGGACATTAAAATATCCCATCATATTTTTCCTAAAAGCAGAAGTTTCCCTCGGTAACTGCAGCCCTAGAGGTAGCTGCATTTCAGTGTTTGTGTGTGTGGCGCTCTCAGCGCCTTTGGGGAATGAACGACTTTATTATAGCGCATCACACGTATAGCGTAATTCTCAACCAAGCAAATATTTATGTTGGCTTGTCCCTTATCATCCAGCTCTGTAAAAGCTTGTTTTTCTAAACTAAGGTAGCTGGGGCAGGAAACATGTTGGTTGTTTGGCAAAGGTCTCTCATCTGTACATAGGGTGACCAGATAGCAAGTGTAAAAAATCAGGACAGGGGGTGGGAGGTAATAGGTGCCTATATAAGAAAAAGCCCCCAAAATCAGGACAGTCCCTATAAAATCAGGACATCTGGTCACCCTACCTGTACACATAAATAATAATAGTATGAAGAGACGCTTGCTCTGAGATACTTTTAAGTAAAACTTCTCCTGGACTTTGATTCCTTTCCACCGCCCTGCGCACGTGTTACATGATACACACGATCCACGGTGTCCAGGCCAGATAAAACAAGTGGTTTATTAAATTAAGAGTTTAAAAGAAGTGGCTACCTGGCTGGAGAGAGCTTCCCTGCACCCCTCTGCTGCTGCTAGGTGAGGAGAGGATTCTCAGAGGGCTGGGGCAGAGGGGCGAGGCAGGGCAGCCACTGCTGCTAGGGAGAGTGGGGCACAGACTCCTCCTGCGCCTGACACAGGAGCAACCCCTTCTTCGCAGCACAGCGCTCAGCATTGCTGCGGCTGTCAGCCCGAGCCGAGACAATCACACGCTTCAGAGGCACGGTGGGCTACGTACTGAGGCACAGGACAGACTCACTGCGAGCAGTAGCGACCGCTATCAGAGCCGCAGGCACTCGGGGAAAAGGACTGGAGGAGGAGCGTCAGTGTCCGATTTGACTCGGCCCCTTCCCACCTCCGTGTGTGTGAAAAATGTGCCCAGTCTGGTATACTGCGCAGGCGCAGTTCTACGCTGCTTCCAGTCTACCCTTTCCACGCGGAAATTCTCCCACCCTTTCGCACCGCGCAGGCGTAGTTCTCAATGTCTCTCCCATTTTTTCTCGGAGAGTGAAAATGGTCTCAGCTGTGTGGACTACGCAAGCGCGACGCTAAATGTCTCCTAGTCCCTTCTCTGTGAGTGCGACAATGAGACCACCTTTCCTTGTGGTAGTGGGAAGTTCAGGAGTGGGAGACTAGGGTTCAGGCTTGTGGGGAAAACTCTCAACCCCAGTCACGGTCAGGGAGTTCTCAGACTTTGTTTCACTATGGTTTATTGCTTTACTCTTCTAGGGAAGATGGGGACTTAGGTGGCTTTCTCGTACATTTTGCTCCCAGAGGAGCAATTTTTGTTCTGTATTACCCCTCTGCTAAATCCTTTTCAGACTGAGCACTGCTGCTTCACATAAACCCAGAGTGGCATAAATTTTGCCCCGTGCTGTGAAGTTTTATTCTGCCTGGTTGAGCAAATAGTTGGGAAGAATCCCTCTTGTACTAATTTACTTTGTGTAAAACTAGAGTTGGCATATTCATCCCATACATTTGTAAGGCATCCATCATAAGGTTACCAGAGTGTCCTTTACAATATATAGCTCACAAATGTATTATACTTTTCCCCCAGTAAGGAAGGAAATTCCTTACTGCCCTAGAAACTGATGATCATCCTCTAGGATATGTTGCCAGAGGATGATAAGAGGAGAGTTCCACCAGTTGCATTTAATCAGCATTTAAGAGATGTATCTTATTTTTTTCCAGAGAAAGTTTACCAAGTTTAAACTCTAGCATACTTTTGTTGAGCAACTTTCAGAGCTTCTTGTACAGGGTGGGAAACATAAAGTTTGTTACTGTTATTTGTACTTCTACGTATTTGAGAGGCATTCAGGTATTACAGTGATGAAACCATATAAGTATGTTGGTAGACACATAAATAGGTAGGTAAACCAATCACAGAACATATCTGCTGCAGATTCCCACAAGTATTTTGTTGGAAATCAACAATTTGAGCTATTCTGGGGGAAATGAATCAACAAGGCATTAGTTTAATACAGTCTCAACTAGGTTGTAAAGTTAAGACCTCTTTCATGTGGAGCACAGTTTAAACTTCATTGAGGTAAACAGGTTATGTTACTTTTGTTTGGTTTGAAATGGTATTCTGCAAGGTTGGTTTATAAAATGCAGCAATTTATGGCTTGTATTTGTAATTTCTTTTTGCTTAGCTCTTTTAAAAAATGCAAAAGATTAAATTAACTTCAACATTGCAAATTTTAACACCTAAATGACAGGTAATAAAAAAGTTATAGGTGCTCATGCTGAAGTAGAAAGGCGGCTATGCATTGGTCCACCCACACAGAGCGCAGCATTGAGGCCTAGTTCTCAAAGCAATGCTAGAATCTTGGACGGTTTATATAAAGGGGCTACACTTCTCCATTAATTTAACCTACATTAAAGAGCCACCATAACACTGAAATGAAATTATGTCTTGGATGGGGGGTTAGACTAGATGACCCTTGTGGTCCTGTGGACGCAGTCCCATCTAACCCTATGATTCTATGACGTAGTTAAGCTGACCTAACCCTGAATATAGACCATGGTAGCTCAACAAAAGAATTCTTTGACCTAGCTTCCCCCTCTGGGGGAGGTGGATTGCCTACAGATGGGAGAGCTCCTCCCCCTTCAATATAAGAATAGTGTCTACACTGAAGTGCTTCAGCAGTGCAGCTGTAGCATTTCAAGTGTAGACAGGCCCTGAATCTGCAGAGCCTGAAACAATAGCTCTGATATGGGAGCAGCCCCATTCAACTCAGTAGGGTAGTTCACATCTGATTCCCAGTGATAATTTAAATGTCAATATTGTTAACTATTTCACTAATCAAAGCATGTCTGAAAGGACAAGGATAAATACTGTGAAGATTGGGTTGCACTGGTAAGACTATCACTTTAAAAAACAACAAGCTGATCTGTGCAGCCAAAAGACCAGAGAGGAGGGTACCTGAGCCCTACTAGGAGAAAGTAATCTGGAAGAGCCAGGGGCACTGAACTTCCATCAAGTGGAACCAAGCCTGAGGAAACCCACTAGGGCAGATGGGATCTTATTTTGAACCAGTGGTTAAAGTCGATTGAAAGAGGAGGGGGGAAGCTCTTAGTGCACCAGCCAAGGAGAAGCCAGAGTGGTAATGCCTACCCAAGCCAGGGAGCTCTCCCTCTGGTCCTTTTTCCTTCCTAAATCTGTTTAAAACAGGGGTTGATCTAAGTGCCTCTGGTGTTTATATTTATTCGAATTGATAAAGCACAGCTGTTTGGATAGGCCCAGCCACAAGGCACTACCCTGCCTAGAACCCAAGGCGGGTTAATGGCTACAGTCTGCTTTGGGGATGGGACTTCACCGTCCACGCGGAGCCAGCAGTGAGAACACGAGGGGCCTTCTCCTAAGAGGAGAGCTTCACCTTGGGGGTCTTCAGCCAAACCTTGCCCACCCTGCTGGGTGCCTCCTCCCTGGCAGCAGCTGCTGCCGCCTCCTCCCCAGGGACCCCGGTGCCCAGAGTGCCCTAACTGATGCTGGGGGAAACGCTGGTGTGGTGCATTCTGTCCCCCCTCCCTCTCTGCCTCGCCGGAACCTCCGAACCCGGAACCTCCTGGCCGCGGCACAGGGCGCGTCGGGCCCCAGCGAGCAGCAACGCAGCACGCCGCGCGCGCACGCGCCGTGTGTCTCTGGTGGTTAGGCGGGGCGGTTGCGCACTTTTCGTTCGTTGCCCGGCTCGGGGTTCTGAGGCCGCAGCGGGAGCCGGAACGGGGCCATGCACCGACAGAGCTTCCGCCCCCCTACGCCCCCGTACCCGGGCGGGGGGCCCTGGGGCGGCGGGTTTCGGAGCCCTCCCTCCGGCGGGGGCCCTATGCCGCCCTCCCCGCGGGGCTACGGGAGCCCCCACCACACACCGCCGTACGGCCACCGGCCCTACTCGCCCCGAGGCCACAACTTCCACGGCGGCGGCGGGCGGTTCGGGAGCCCGTCCCCGGGGGGTCAAAGCCCGCGCAGGCCGCACAGTGCCAGCCCCAGGTACTCGGCTCCCTACGGCAGCATACCCCCGGCCGCGGCCCAGCAGCGTCCGCCGCACCATCCGCAGCAATACAAGTCCTCGCCGCGGGGCTCCCAGAGATACTACCAGGTATGGGAGGGGGAGCTGCCCTGGACAGCGGGAGGGGCTGCTGTGTGCCTCGGTGCGTGGGCGCCGTGCGCGTGTGGGAAAGAGATTAATGGCGGATTGAAACACGCAGCAGCCCCCCCTCCCCAATTTCCGCCCCCCCCTAGGCTCCCTCCCCAGATCCCAGAAAAGAGGGACGAGTGTAATACAGAGTGAAATCCATCCCCACCCTGTACTAGAGGGAGGAGAGAGACTGATTCACACAGCCAACGCTTTCCACATTTTCTGAAAGGGAGGGAAACTGACGCAAAGCAGAATCCACTTCCAGGCCCTTTGGGGCTGGGAAAGAGACAAGAACCCCAGGAATATTCTCTCCCCTCCTGCCCTGGCATTTGAGGGGGCGGGATAAGAAAGCAGCATTCAAACTCCTCTTTCTCCTTCCTTATGTTAGCTTTTTCCCCGGTCTCAATTTTACCGAGTTGTTTTTAGTTTGTTTTTTAAGAGCTAAGATGAATTTGAATGTTTGTAACTTTGGCCGGGACCTCTTACTTGAGGAGTTGACATAACTGGGAGATTGGGTACAGTCAAGCATAGGTTGCTGCTAAAATGACTAAAAAAATTGTTTTCAAACAGAGTTGAAAATCTTTCCTAGTTACAAAAGGAACTTTAAAAAAGAGAAGTGAAATACTGTCTCAATAATGCTTTGTGGTTTTCAACTTCCAATTTTAAAGTGATGAATCACTATGCTAATCTCTGAATTGTAGTTAGTTTCTGTATGGGGCTAATAGTTAAAGTAACACCTGTGCAGGTGAAATATTTCTTACCTAGCAATGTCATAACTTTTGTAGTTCATAACTTAAGCTTTGTCTTTAAAAACAAAAGTGGGGGGAGGGGTACAGAACTAACTTTACCAGAACGCACATGCACTATAGAAATGCCATGGTCATAGACCCAATAGCTGATATGTAGGTGTAGAGAACACTCCGCCAAACAGTGGTTTACTACTTTTTTTTTTTTTAAACAACTTAATCAGGTAGAAAGTGAACAGTGTTAAAGCCATACAAAATACAATTCCCAGTAACTACTGAAATTAGTATTTGTTTTCAGCTCAGTTGGAAAAGTGCCTGATAAGCTGTGCATGGGTCTTCATGCTAAATCACTCTGGTTTTGCCTTTTCAGAGTGGTTATTGACATGGGACTATGCTTACAGCATTGGAAACTATGGATAGTTTGTTCAATTTCTGTAAAATTGTTGGTCAAGTTATTTTGTTCACAATGTATTCTTTGTGGGAGTAAATGAATAAAAGGTAGGAATTTGCAGTGGAGGAAGGGATTGAGATCTAACATGAGTAAAAGGTATGGAGGGGACAGTTAACAATTGATCTTAAACTTCATGCTGATAGATATTAAAAATATTTAGAAAAGTACCATAACTAAATTTAACTGTTCTTTGAGGTGCACAAGTACAGAGTACATTAATAGACATGGGAAAGAAGTTATATTGTGGCAAAGTGTAACTACTAATGACTGTGTCCCTACAACTTAGTCTCTAATAGATTAGACCCCTGCATTCAGGAGAAAGCTATTTCATAATGATTTC